GACTGTACAACGTTACGCCATTAAGTACTAATGCATCCTTCGCGATTCAGTCCATTCGAACCACTTAGGCAAGTCACAGTAGTTATACATACAGTAGCTTCATGAAAAGTTAACTATTCGGCTTGCAAATAGGGACCAGGGTAACAACTTTGTCATAGTTTAACCGCCTCTGTGGTCTAGTAGTAAGACCACCTGCTTCAGACGCAGAGGTCCCGGGTTCGATTCCCAGTGGGGGCAGATTTTTCTGTTCGGTTTGGTTGGCTTGTTCTAAGTCCGCCTGGCTTACTACCACCATCTTACCTAAGTCTGTCGCCATAACAACAATGTTAACAGCATTGTTGCGATCCGGCAGTTAGAGGTAAGATAGCCAGTTCCCCCGTGGTTTGAGGATTCCGGTTGAAGCTCGCTTCCACCTTCGGCCTGATCATCACTTACCATCAGGTGAGATACTGGCCAAGAGTTTCCTCGTTGTGGATAAAAAAAAAAGTTAAATTAATTTTGAACAACAATCAACGAATGGTTCACTTCAAGCGTCAAGTAAGATATAAGGAATATTTGTTTTATTTGAAGAAAGGTTGTGAAAAAATTGACATGTCCCAATATTTAGTATGATGATGATAACTAAATAAATTATCGTATGACTGTAATAAAGGAACTGTACAATACTGTTTTTGTAATTATTTAATAAGGAATACCAATATCACTAAATTCTCTCTCGCTGTTTGTACACTACCCCGCAAATGTTATAAGTAGTAGTATCAAGAGAAATGTTCATTCATTTAGTAAAAAGAACTGCTGAAACAACATCCATTGCGGCCCAGACTTCAAAATTAGTTGTGCCTGACACTTCGTTTGCTTAATCAGAGTATGAAGTTGATTATGAATATGAAATTGAGCGTCGTCTTCGTAGTTTAGTTAAATTTACTTAGTGTAAAGTCCCATCCCAAGTTGTTTCGAATGTTGCAGACTTAGTTTATATCATTTTCCAAGAAATTGCTTAAATACAACTTAATTCGATTATGCTCACTTCAATAGTTCATTAAGTTTGTCTGTGGACTTTTTTACCACTCACACATATAAATGTATCTTGACTGGAAATAAAATTAGCACTTTTAGGTCATATAAGTATCACTATACCATTTAAAACTTGTTTTTATTTTAGAAAAAATAGTATACTAACTTTTTTGGTAGTATACTAACGTCTAACTAGGCGATGGTTAGGAATCGACCATTGCTCGTCGCAGTTCCTCACGGGACATGGCAACTTTAAACATAAACTTCACGAATTCAAACTAGTTCCGTCTCCTTTTTGCGAGTGTTCCACTGATGATGTCAGTCATGAGCAGTCTGCCCATCATATCTTGTGGGAGTGTGATCTTTGGAAACATGAACGTGATATAATGCTTAATTCAATACAACATACATCTGTTTCCGCAATTTATTACACCGATCTTGTCGCGACAAGGAAAAATTTCCGTGCTTTTAAGCGATTTTGTGAAAAATATTATTGGCAGGTAGTTGCTAATTGCTCATAAGATAGGCCCCCTTAATTTAATTTATTGTCCGTGGTGCATAATCTTTTCTTAAAGGTTTTAAACTTTTGTTTGTCACCTGTCATCCGCTTTGCAATGGAGGGAAGTCGAACCTTAATTTCGAACTCCTCCTATGTTCTTCTGATTAATTTCGTTGCGGGTCCAATGACAGTTTAACTTTCCCCCGGGACAAACTTGACCTTCATTGGTTGGGTTTTTGTGGCGGTCAAGCTGTAGATCCTGGCTACACAGGAGTTGCAGTAGTGGGAACGAGAGGTGGGAATAGTCCCGTAACTTTTTTGGGGAATCTTTATAATTTTATCTTAGGTAGGACTTTCAACGTAAAACTAATATTCACCAAATAAGTTTAGAAGAATTTAAGGTATAAGATTCGTTTTTTTCTCTGTCATAATAATAATTATTATGACAACAAATAATTGAATATTTTTGTCCATACTCCGTAACCACCGTCCCAACCTGTCCCGATTTCTGTCCCGCGGCATATTCATCCCATCACTACCCCGATGCAGGATTTTCGAATCTACAAAGCTCGTACATATTAAAATATCTCGCAGACCGTACCGTTACTAGGTAAGTAGGTACAGTCAGCAAAAGACTATACATTTCTGTTGAAAAATCGCACTTATTTACACCTGTATAAGATGCTAGTGTTGACCACAATGTGATAGCGCTTGTACCAGCGATTACCATAAATAAAATAGCCTCGTACTTCTGGAACATTCTTCCTATAGAGTTTAAGTTTGATAAGTTTTGAAAAGTATGTTATATTTTTATTTGAAATTCAAGAGTATGTTATATTTTTATTTGGAGTATCTCAAACTTGAAGAAATCTATTAACTATACTGAAGTAGTAGTATAGATTTATTTTTCGCCCAAATAAGGCAATTGGATCATTAATAGACTGCTGGGTCACTAGGCACCTGATTTAAAAAATATCACAACAAACTTATTGAATCTTTTACCTCAGAAATCTAAAAAATAATTCATTGTTTCGCTTCACTCAGTATCTCAATATTAAACAATATTGAAGAAAAGTTCACCGTCACGCCCAGAGAGTGCCTATCACGCGTCAAACTTTCCTACACCTAAAAAATATTCCAAAAGAAACCTAAAAAAAGGTTTGTTATTAGAAATAATAAAAAAAGTTTGCTAAACGTTATTTTGCTTTCTTTTCTCGGTATTTCTCAACTCTTTGGTTAGGATTCGTCGGTTTTCATAGACAACAGAGTTTATTTTTCTTTTGACGCACGCGTTGTTTTTAGTCTGTTTTTGTTTTGGTAACTGTTTCTATCTCAGACGTAAGATAGCATCATTGTGTTTCCTAAAATAACCTATTTAGGTTTTGAAATACTAAGGCCGAGTTGCACCACCTAATTTTAACCGTAACTATAACGATAACCGGTGTTTTTGTATGAAGTTTTGACAGATTTTTGACGTTTGTCAAAGTTAAAACATTCTACTTCCAAAGTAGGACCACCCACAAGGTGGACCGACGACCTCATAAAGGTGCAGCCTCATACAGGCCACTACCAACCGGCCAATATGGAAATCACTGTGGGAGGTCTACTTTCAATAGTGGACGTCCTGTGGCTGAAATGATGATGATGATCTGTAGTTGTAGTAATTATAGACTTAACATAGTCGTCAGTATTTCAAAATACAATTTTGTAAGAAACCTATTACATATATTCATACCTATAAGTAACAATAAGATACCACAATAATGTAACTCGATGTGTCTTCGTATCATCAATCACATCAAGATAATGTTTCAAGACACATTCACGACTAAATGCAAACTATTCCACCATTAAACTATTGAACTAATACTAAATAGTTACCTACCAAAGTTTATCCATTTTCTAGACACAAGCTGGATCTATATCGAGTCCACGAGCATTAGGGTAAACGAGCTGTCATTAGCAGACTGTAGAGTACAGTTTACCCTTCGTTGCAATGCATGGAGTTTCAGATAGTAAGGATATTTTAATGTATAGTAATATTAACAATATAGGCACATAATTGCTCGTTCAAACGGCGACATCCCGTTTCTTGCAGTATCCCATTTAGTAGTATTTTTTATGCATAACAAGGCAGATATTTGACCACAATCGCACCTGATGTTAAGTGGAATGCAGTCTAGGATAATACATAATCTGCCCTGTAAGTGCCTATTCACTCTCTCCTTGAAAAGGCATTTTAATACTAACATTCACACTAACAAACATAAAAATATTTATAAATCTGTAACCTGTAAAATAATGGAGATCTGAATTATCAAATACAAAAAACATAGCCTTCTTCTTTTATCTGAATTATCAAAATACAAAAAAAAATAGCGACTTCAAAAAAAGAGGAAGTTCTCTAAAGCAAGTTGAAGTTTAAACGCATCATAGAAGTCTTTTATATTCAGGGGATAGTTTTATAGAGAAAAATTGATGAATTAATTCAATTCAATTCAAAAACAAATCAGTCACATTATGAAAATAATGATGGAAGCTGGAAAAACAACATTATGTGTTAGAATAAACATGAAAGCGCTATTATTTTTCGCGAATCCATTGTCATACGACGCGATTGACATCCGATTAGGGTCTCGAACGTACCCATGAAAAATAATACGGGCAAAGGTTGCGCGTTTGGCGGGAAAAATGACAGCTGTCAAACGTGGATTAAATATGGCGGCGCTCGAGTGCGAGCGTGCTCTTGACTGATTGGCCAGAGTGCCTGTTTTTTTTTCTATTCACGATACGCGCTTGAAATTCGATTTTATTGCTCACTCGTGTAGAAATTCGGCTTTGTTTTCGCTGACAGTTAATCCCGATTTTTATTTATGGGCTCAAGGCTGTGTATTGATTTGAATATTTTGTTTTTAGTTACAGCCGACAATAGGCTACCTACGAGCTTATATTTTAGGAACAATTTTGTTCTAATCCGCACCAGATACACAGTCCAAATGTTGAATGTTGTTTTTATTTAAGTGACTTCAAATCTAAAGCTCCTCTTTACAATAATATTTTTTAACGAACCTATGAAAGCCAGTACATTTTAACAGCTAATTCTCTGTTCTCCATTAATAACGATTGATTTCATCCATGTCGAGTCTAAATGAGTGAATAAATAGTTCATTTAAATAATGTTAAGATTAATACCGTAAAATGTTCCCTGTATTTTGCTAATTTTGTCAGATTTTAATATAGGTACATGATGTCCCAAAAAGTAGTGTCAAGCCGAAGCCCAGAAGTAGCCCCAGTGATGCTCTACCTCTGGGATTCGGCTTGACTCTAATTTTTTGGACATCCTGTATATTATTACGTAAAATATTATTAAAATAACCAGTGTTGATTTTGACAAGTGACAAATTGCCAAAAACATTCGTGCAAACTGGTGCAAACTTTCAATAAGTGTTTCTATTTTCAAAAATAACCGTTTTTCTTTTGTTCCCAGGTGAATGGAGAGGAGAGAGGAGGATGCTGGACATCACCAGGGACAAGCCCGTTAAAGTGTGCGTGAGGGTCGTGGTACCCGTCAGGGATCATCCTAAGGTAATTTATTCGATTTTTTTATGGTTACTTAAATGCTATATTATTGTATTCTGTTGTTGTGCCTATAAATAAATAAATATCTAAGTACCTATTATAAGTACTATCGCCAACAGTGTTAACTGCCCATTGAAAGTCATGTCATCTCGTTCTATTGCAAAGAATCGCCATTTGATTAGAGCGAGAGCAAAAACGGAAAGGGATAGTGTGGGCGTGTGTACGTATCGATAAAATGCAAGTAAAATAAATTATAAATTACCTATTCAGTTCTTTGAAAAAAAGTCTCTTTCAGAAACTAAAATAACAGCTATAGATCAATGGTGTCGGTGTTCAAATCCGAGGAACGCGGGTTAGTACCACGAGGGGTTAACGGGACTATTAGTCATATTTTGTATTTTCAATATCGTAAAAAAGAAAAAAAAAAGATTCTCCGATTCAAATCCACATTCAAATTATTTATTGTATATCACATTAGTAAGGGTGGTCTCCATATTCTTTCTTTGAATAAAAGTAAAAGAAGTATACCTCACATCATGTCTCAAATATATTACAAAAGAAGTAAACATTCTAGAACATTATAGACCTTACAGTGTAATCAACATCACACGTATTTTTTTCAAGTCTCTAACATTTCTAACACAAGTATCAATACCATTAGCATAACAATATTGATCAGACGCCCTCGTTATTATGAGGGGTACTATTACGAATTGCAAATTGTCATAGCAATAGGTCGTGGCGCTCGCCATTATCCAGATGGAGATTTGCCAGAGAGGCGACTTGACACATTGTACCATGGCGTGTAAATTGGTGAATGTTAGAAACATTTTGTGATATTTTTATTTTTTCCTTTTTCCTAATAGGCTTAATATTTGCCGACATAATGGTGTAATAAAAAAATTAGAATGATAAGAACTATAAAAAGCAAAAAAATTAAGGGGACATGTCCTTCTAACTTGTTTCTTAAAATACTACAATATTGCTTTGTGTTTACGGAATAAAAATAATAAAAGATATATTTAAAAAAAGAAAATAAATAAATACCTAGTTTATCGCCTACGCCGAAGAAATAGATATAATGGTAGATATTCAAAAGAAGAATAAGAAATTAAGTTTTTTTATGATTAAGTAGGTATCAATTCTTTTGTTTGTTCAAATTTATTTCGCTGTAATAAGGCCTAGATTCCAATGAATTATATTTTTTGCACGTGACTATCAATTATTTATTAGACCTTTTTTTGCGTCTAGTTTCCTTCACCGTACGTATTACGGGACCGGGATTTCTTCACGGTCCAAAGGACACCGTATACGTGTATTATGGCATATTTCAGGGGATTGAAAAAGTCAAGGTATCAATACACATCAAGCCCAGTGCTTACCTTTTCACCTTTGGCATTTGATTTTGATTTGAAAGGATTTATGGGTTTGTTAACAACAAGGTTTTGATCAGAAGAAATATGGATAAAGGAATATGAACCTTATTTTTATTTATGTATTTTATAGTGCTCTTCGAGGACAAAAATGGACAGGATATACATATTATTAAGTTTTTCTATCACACCAATCAATCCTACCGGACCTAAAATTATTAAAATAAAATAAAATTCATATTCATGTTATTTTTGCAAGTAGGCTTTTAAAAAGCACTTTTACACTCATCATAAGGTGAGAAGCAGGCAATAAAGAGCCTCTCCAATGTGGTTAAAAAAATATTTACATGTGAATATTATTCATATTACTTTACATAATTCAATATTATACATTATTATCCATAATGTATAATTTAAGTCTCACCCACCATTACTCATCATTACCACGTGTTAATTTTTCAAAACTACAATCCCATACGTTAAGATAAACATTACAAAATATTTCAAAATGAAAAATATTTCTTCCTTTGTTTCCAGGAAATGATTTCTTTTATCAACACAATCTCCCCTCGCGTATTTTAATTAAGGCATAGAGTGTATATTTAGGTTAATTATTGCTTCCTTCTTACTGTATATTTACCATTTTATGGAAATAATAATAATGCACAGCTTATGGTTCATACAAAACACATTCAAGTGACGGGCGTGACTTTTTTTGACGTATTCCACTTAGAGCACCCGCCCAAATAGCACCTGCACGAATAGCACCTGGCCTGTTCCACTTAGAGCGCCTATCGATATTTTGGGCAGGTACTCTTGAAGATGAGGTTATATTATACTTATAAATCAACTAAAAACCAGCCAAGCACGAATCGCACCTGAAGAGCGACGCATACGAAAAGTTCCGTATCATACTGTAATTAATAAACTCCTCCTAACGCCATAATAAAAGTCGATCAAGAAGAACAAAAAAATCCATTTTTACGCGACGCGTTAAATTTTGTCTGTCACAGAAAAACTTTATCTTTAACTTTATTGTTTCAAAAATCGGGAAATAAACTATCCTATGTCCTTTCCAGGGACTCAAACTATCTCTATGTCAAATATAACAAAATGGGTTCAGTGGACAAAAGAAATACACATTCTGTAAAAATCTTTATACCTAATAAAACGATAAAATAATTTGGGCTCCTTTAGCAGCGTGCAACCTTTTGAGTGGGGATCTCTAAAAACTAATTTATAGACAAAGTAGCTCGTTTATATTGCCCAATAAGAGCCAAAATGGCGCAGCAAACGAGTTCACCTGAACATTTCCATTACTACAAATGGCATCTCGTAGACACATCACTCAACGCAAATCGACGCGTACCACGTAGCCGCCATTTTTTTCAATAGGCCTGGTGCCTGAGTTCCTAAAAGTACACACATAAAAATTCTAAAAGCATTTAAAAGTGATAAAATTGCTCCAAATTATTTAATAAAAAATGGGTCGATCTCACTTTATGCATAATATACAAAATTTATTTAATGGGACAAAGTTTTTTTTTTATAATTAGGTATGTCCCACTTTATCCACTGACGATAAATAGGGCCCTTATACATTGCGACTTTTTTTTAGCTCGTTGGAATCGAAGCAAAAAAATTATGTCTTCGAACCACCAAAACATTTTAAAAAGCCCTTTTTAAATGTCCCATTTTCAAACCCTATCACTGCTTCATGGCAATAGTTTGGCAGATCCAGCTCTTCAATTCTTTGTCACTTCTCGAGAACTTTCCACTAAACTATGTTAGTTACTTCACCTACCCATAACTTTAAATAGCCTTATTTTACTAGAACTAAAGCAAATATCCTTAGGGAATACCTTTATTTTAGCAGTAGATGTCCTAGGTTGGAAACGAACGAACGTACAAAAGCAAGTCGTTTACAACCTATCAATGATAATTATTTACATCGATTCTTCCGATTTAATATCAAATAACATCTCTAAACGCGTGTGGTGACGGCAGAGTAGAATACATTTGTCACCAACTCCAACTCTTCCCGCGGGTGTCGTAAGAGGCGACTTAGGGACTACACATCAAACAGAGAACGGGCAGCAGCGCTCTCTGAAAAACATCAATATTTTAAACTGCGATCTCCAACCCGCCTGCCAAGCGTGGGGATTATGGCAATACCCTCCACTATAGTGAAGGAGGCTCATAGTCCAGCAGTGGACTGTAAAGGGCTGTTTATGATGAACATCTCTAAAATCTCATAGACAATGCCCACAAATTATATTGTTTCCAATTTATCACCGAATGAACATGGAAATGAATCCGCGTAGGAAAACATTAAAACAATGAGCTCATTAATTTTAATCAAATGGGAAATTTGCTTATCATTCCATGCTTAATTTTGATTTTAATACTATAATTTGTGTTCATTGGAGCAGTAAATTCTTTGAATTTCATCTATCATTATAGCCCATTTATTCAAGTATGACTCATAGCTGAATTCATCATTAGCAAGTCAATTAATGTTCACTACAGGACTAAATACCTCTTTAATTTACCAGAGGCAAATGGAAGATTTGGCCTACACTTCCCACGCTGGCCAAACGAGTTGAAGAGGCCTGATGCTCGCATATTTTTCCATCAGTGGCCACTGGCCTCTTTCGATATCGAGTCTCCCTTAGGGCTATATTTCAACGGGACACCAGGCGGCGCAACCAGTCGCCGCTACCAACAAAATGTATACAGCTCTATAGAGAGTTACTCACCTGGTGTCCGTTTGGTTGCGCAAAGCTGTATACATTTTGTTGGTAGCGGCGACTAGTTGCGCCGCCATAGTGTCCCGGTGAAATATAGCCCTTAGTCGCCTCTACGACATCTACGGGAAGAAGAGGAGAGTCCTTATTGTACTCTGCACGAACCACATAGCTAATTGCTGAATATAACGAAAAACAAAGTACTTTTGATTATTCGGTTGTGTGTGTACCATCGTACCCTGTCTCCAGGTCTAAAGATATGTTCAGTTCAAAGAATAATGATTCCAAAGGCCCGCGGGCGGCTATCAAGGCATTCAAAAGTCTGGCCAGTAGCCATTATTAGATTAGAACAAACAGATCATGTGATAGAATATTTTTTTACAGAAAAGATTTCATTCTACTGTTTATGTTGGAAGATGTATAAAACTGAGTTGTTCTTATCAGCAAAATATGTATAAAAACATTTCATTCTCCTGTTTATGTTGAAGGATGTATAAAACTGAATTGTTCTTATTAGCAAAATATGTATAAATTAATTAAAAATACTTAAAAATGTTAATATTTTCTAATAGATAAGTAAGTACGAGTAGGTTTATCCGAATAAGGTTACAATAGTTCACATAGTCAATTATTTTTAAAATGTTCGGAAAGCCATTATAAATGAAATATGAAGGTCCCCATCGATCCCATAAGTATTTACAAAAAAAAACAAGTTTCAAAGTTTTCAAAAATGAACATTTGTGTTTTTGAGCCAAAGGTCGTTAAAATAAGTCAAACTAAATTGTCAACCGTGAAATTATTTATTAATGGTCATTACACATGCGATCGAACGTCGAGTCTTTCGTCATCGTAGTGCGCACTCGCTAAAATAATATTTTGTATATCT